CTACTACCTTAGACTTTCTAAAATGTTCCTAAATAATAGACCCTACTTAGATAACTATCTTAAATTCCTTCTAGAAGGTTCTATGGTAGGTCCTACCTAAATAACTACCTTAAATTCATTTTAGAATGTTCCATGATGGATCCTATGTAGTATACAAACCTAATCTCAATTCTAAAAACTTCCATAATCTCTCAAACATAGTTCTTACTATCTATTTTTATGTATCAATAATACAAATATCTTATCTTTATCCTATTATAGTTTTTTTTGCCTCCAAACTTGCTCTTTGATTTTATTAGTAGAAATATATTATAATATGGTTTTTAATTGAATGTATATATATATATATATATATATATATATATATATTATAAAAAAATTAATTAAAAATATTTTAGCAAACTATCTTAAAAGTATAGATAATAGTAAAAAAAAAATAACATTGATAAGTGCTAATATTATTTTTTTACAAAATGGGACTTTATTTATTTTAGAGTATTATAAATAATAAAAAATAAAATAGATAAAAATAAATATAAATATAAATATATTTTTTGAAAAAAAATAAGAATATTTTGAAGTAAAAATTACTATAAGAAATCATAAACTGATATCCAAAGAGGACCAATTATAAATCAAAGTCAAAATCAAACCTCAAGATACAAAACCACAAATCTATAATAATTCAACGATTCTTTGGATAATTAGAGAATAAGATTTGAAAGCAAAATTTAAGAGGATTATCTTAGTATTTGTTTTAAGTAATTTGAATGTATATTGAGGTTTTAATATGTATTTAGATATTTTAGATTTTTAGAAATAAGAAGGGACTCACATATTTAAAAAATTTATGGATATTATAACAAATTTATAAATAAAATTTTATGAATTTGTTATTATGCTTGTCTTAATTATATTTTATAAATTTATATTTAATCAAATGGCTACATTGAAGGATATAGGAGTTTCATTGGATTAGGATCTTAGATATTTGAATTTTAAGATCAATGAAGTTTTTTATAAATTTGAAGAATCTACCAGTTTGATTGAAGTAAAATTTTGTAAGAAAATCTTTGGCTTAGATATCTAAAATTTTGTCAATTTGAAGAAAAATTAAATGATTTACAAGGATTAATTGATGCATGAAGTTCAACATTTAGATTAGAGAAGGAAGACATCCAACATTTGAAAGTGTTAGAGGGTCTTTCTTCTAATTTATAAGTTTGATTATTTTCAAACTTTATATGATTGTTATTTTTTTAAAGAATGAAATGTGAAAATAATTTAGTTGAAATAAATTATTCAATTTATTGTTATTAAGATTTTAAAATAATTATAGGAATTAGATTAGAATTTACTCGAAATTTATTTAAGATTTCATTAGGATTTTATTAAAATTTTATTAGGATTTATTTAGATTCTATTAAGATTTACTTAGGATTTTATTAAAATTTGTTTAATATTTTTTAAAGACTATATTAGAATTTTATTAGGATTTAATTAGGATTTATTATGATTTATTTAGAATTTTTATTTTTAATATTTTTTAAAAAAATTATATTATTTCTTTATAGTTTTTATTTTTAACATTTAAAAGGATTTTATTTTTATTTTTTAAAGATTAATTTATGATTTCTAAATTTTTCCATTTTAATTTTTTTAAGACTTCTTTTGAAATTTGATTAATATTTGATTAAAATTGTTAAGCTTTAATTAAAATTTATTTAAGATTCTATTAGAGTTGTTGAGACCTTGTTTGTTGTAATTTCTTATTTACCTTCCTCAACTAAGTACTTGATGTATTTTCAAGCAAGACTTCACGTAATACAATAGTGGTGAATATCCACCATAGTTGCACCACTTTGTATTAATCTAATATAGAATCATCACATATTTCAACCAACTTCAAAGAACTTTTTGGATAAGCTATTTAAAATTTAAAGAATTCCATCTAAAAAAAGAGGTCATTACAACCTCACTTGTAAATGTGTATTTGATTTTTGTACCATTGTATTCTTGCAAGAGGTACAAATTGTTGGTTCTTTTGATAATTTGCCTCACTTGAAAGTATATCTCTACAAAACAATAGAAATAGTTGATGCATCTTTTTTTGTCGAATTTATTAAAGTCAAATTGGCAATACTTATTCTTCTTCTAAAACTTCTTAAAGACTTTCTTTACTTAATATTTTAAGTAATTGGTGAATTCATATAAGTAAAAATGTTGCATGGATGTCATCATTTCTATGAGCAACCACACACAAGTCAAAGCGATCATCATTATATTCTTCTTTTATCACATTACTACAATTGTAATTCTTAATTCCCTTAAGGTTGCATATTACTTGTTGAAAGCATTGAAAATCACATATTGTTCCACAAATCACAAAGATTAATCTACTTCTAGCTTGATACAATGTAAAAGACTACTACTAATAATCTCTAAACCATGTACCTTTATGTATTGCCTCACAACTCCTTAAACCATCCTTATGCAATTCTATTCAATTTTTCACTTTTAAGAACTTAGACAAACAATACAACATATCATTTCATTTGTTTATATAAATAAGTCACTTCATCCTATTATATAATTTCTATTATTTAATTGCAAAGCTCTTCAAAATCTCTTCCAAAATAAAACTATGAAATAACTTCATGCATTTACATTGACAAATAGGTCCTTCAATACTCCACACTTATCTATCCAACCTTTAACCAAGTACATTGTTCCATCTCCTAGAGTCCAACCAAAAACAATTCATAATAGTTAGTATATGCTCTTCACAACCTTATACTTCCACTTTCCTAATTATTACTAAGTATCAATTGGCTTTGCACCTTTTAGAAATCAATAAACAATAGTTTGTAAATTATTAATTGTTTAGTTCACCATTTGAGCCCATGCTCCTTCCAATACCAATTTTTCTACTTTGAAAAAATATTGTTGAATACTTACAATTATATAAAGATATCTACTTCTTTCTTTTATACAAATCATCTTCAATTTCTCAATCCTATAGCTTCATGTCTCCAAACACAATCCTTTGATCCAATGCAAAAGTTGCTTCAAAGCTTGTAAAAAGAAGAGAGTGATGGATTTCAACTAAGAATGGAAAATAATAGTAGGTGCAAAGACAAGCAACTACAACACTTTAGTCAGTAGACCACAATCTATGTGGCAGACAAAGAATTGGTCATTGAGAATTCCCAAAGTTCCAACAAACCAGTTTATGGAAATACTCAAGGTTTCAAACAATTTGCATTCTCCAAGTTCTTCAAATTCCCTACATTTCCTTCTTCATGACCAAGCAAAATATTTTTTGTCTTTTTATCTTATATCCAAGTTGCTTTATATATATATATATATATATATATATATATCAAAATTAAAGTGAGAAGCATTTGTATGACATATTATTCTTGAAGTAAAAGGTTCTCAAGCAAAGGATTTTCATGCTAATACATATGTATATATATATATATATATATATATAAAAAAAAATGTGTGATTTTTTCACAAGGAAGATATCATTTCTATTTAAATTAAGTTTCCACAAAACATTTCAAAACAAACACATTCACAAAGATAGTGGTTCAAGAACGTTCATGAAATACACACCAACTTTACCAATTCACATACAAAAACTTACATCCATCCATCCACCCATCCACCTATGCCTTTGCTTCATGTCATCTGTAACAAATTAACATACACACCATCCTCCACTGTATATAGTTAAGAATAACAAATGAATGTCCAGGGAAGACCACACTGCATAGCATAACTTCCTCTGCCATCATCCCTAAAACACCCACGTAGATTTTCCCTCTACTGTTTACCTGTTCCAAATCGATACTCGTTGACTGATTTTTAGGGTTAGGGTTGAAGTCCTCTTTCTTCCTCCTTAGGTGTGTGGATGGGGAGTGAGGGAGTTGCTTATCCAGCGATGAGCTATGGAGGTGGGAGGCATGGGCGAGGGTATGAATTTTCTCTACCCATGTGGGTGTCTCTGACGGTGGGATGGTGGTGGGGATGCCCACCCAATGCGGCCAGATCTGTAGACCTGGAAGACAGCGATGCCACCATGGCATTTTGTGGCTGCTGTGCTGCTGCTGTTGCATGTCCACAGCAGTCAGTGAGCCCCGACAAAATTTCGCCGTCCACAATGACGAACAGAGAATCTTGACAGCAAACGCTGCTCGGAAATCAGGGAGGGGCTTTGGAAAAGAGGACGGTGAGAGTACCGCATGGCTCAACCCCACAATGCCAGTGAAGTAATTGCTGTTCGGAGTGTGAGAATTCGATGACCGTTGTGTGATTGTGTTTGTGTCGGAATTTGGGCTTGCTTAATTTCTAAATATGGATCTGAGTGAATTTTAGTGGATATGCCGAATATTCCACTTAAGTGTGTAAAAATAAGTCTAGGAGACTGGATGGATTGTTTCCAGTGCGGTGAGTGTTGTCAACTTTTTCACAAATGTGAATTTGAACCTTACCGTCTCATAGTAGCAAGTTTTTGTACATTACTGTTATTAACACAACATGACTTGTTCCAATTGATGGCAAGCATTGTTTACAACTCATGATCAAGCTATTGAATTTGGGTTAAATTGAGTTGTGAATTGAAGAGGAGGTTTTAACACGCCACCTAGATTTTTGAATTATCACTCCTTTCTATCAGTGGAAATTGTTATTTAAGTTGTACAGGTTGGAGGTTAATGTGGTTGGCTTAAGAAGACGGAACAAAACAGCACAAGAAAATATGACTGCAGAACAAGATATTTGAGTTACTGTGTATGAGTTGAAAAGGCAGTAAACTAGGTTGTGTATAAGTTCACTTAAAATCCACTTTCATGTATTGATATGGTATGTAAACCTAGCATGTGAAAAATCTTCTAGTAAAACACTCGCGGTAATTTGCACGCCCATTCAGATAGCAAAAGAATTGCAGATCGACAAAGAATATTACTGATGAGAATCACGAAACGAAGCAGAGGAATAGAGAATCTGCATTTCGCATTCACAAGTGAAAACGCACTGTGTATAATTAGAAAATTGTATACAAAACCAATAGGAGCAGGCCTCTTCGTTAAGCCAGACTGTACTAAAAGAATTCCTAGAACATATGGCATGATCCTGAGCAGTCTGGCTATTACTGTCAAGGCAAAAAATTTATAATGTTACAGTAACCCTCTCTAAGACCTACGGCAAATCAATGCCATTTGATGCATCTACTTAAGGTGTGACCAGCATCAACCTAGTCTCATGGACCCCTGCAATATTCACACATAAACCACGTCAGGAACAAGTTAAAGGCCATCGTGTGAGCAGAAGAGACAAGTAGAGGACATCCATTTAGGTTGAGTTCAGAATTGTCTAGTTGTTCTTCAAGCACGATGTTAATTCTAGCACGAATTCTACTAATTGCTGTAAAAGGACTGTAACATTTAGCACGAGATTGAAACAACAAAATAGGCTTAATTGGATTCAGGAGTAGAGGATTACCATTTAAAGTGAATCCGGCTTGTCTTGTTCAAGGCGATTTTTATCGGAAAAAAATGATAGATGTCCTGAATCGTACAGACGGGAAGCGTGTAGTTAAAATGCACGTAGGAGAATAAACCTGAGGCTCTCTGAGAGTAAACCATGCATGAATGACCGTTCAAAGACTTCAAATGTCTTTGCATCAATGAATTTCGCCTTGAATCGAAACCTTCTACCTAACTATGTGAGCCTACCCACGTGCTAAGAGTTGCCCTTCTTGTACGCTCCCAGTGGACACTGTTGCACCTTTGTCGTTGGGCAATAAAAATTGGGAATGAGAATGTGATCGCAACATCTCACATTCTGAATGTCACTTGGCCTTCCCAGGCAATAGCAGCATCTTCAAATGACCTAATCTCTTCAAGAATAACCTAATCTCTTCAAATCGTCAATTCTGAGGGCGCCAAACTAAGCTCTTTCCTAGACCGTAAGATTCTGTTTTCCGTCTGTACTCTCTCACTTAAAGCTATTTGATTCCCCCACGAATCTGTTTCACGTAAAACATTCTTCATCCACTTCGTTTTGTCGTTCAATCCAGCCAAATGAACCATAAAATCCCCACGTGCGTAAACACCTGAAATTATTACCAGAGATTTCTTTCAATACAAAAGTTCGCCATGCTTCCAATAATAAGAGAACCAGCCATATCATGGCGCATCAACAAAATTAATGATCAAACCTTGCCAGGTAACACAGAGTTCGGGAGAAGTTGATGGAAAAAAATGTACCTTTCCAGACAGCCTTAGTTAAAGTAACCAAACGGTGACAGCTCCTCCAAGAAGGTCTCCATAGGTTCGAATTGAAAAGGCACTGCATTTCAGGAACTCGCACATGTTGATCATACTCATCTTTGTCCATCGTACTGATGAGGTGCTTCAGGGCGGTATTGTCCCCACTTTTTGATTTGCCGAAAGGCTGAATAAAATCAGTCTGATTCCACCAACGATCAAGGAACTCTCGGCTCCAATCAGAGTTGCGGAAAAAAAACATTCCTGCACCATATTTTAGGGAAGTTACAACCTCAGAACGGGAAACTTACAACTAACATTCCAACTCGACCAGCACACGAAGAGTGGAGAATCGAGGACAGACGATTCAATCAGCAACACAAGCGCGGACCGAAGTAAAAGGCCTAGCACCTCCCAACGAGTGGAACAAAATTGAGGAAAACAGGGGGTATGTTCCAACCTGCATTGACACCAGTCACATCTTCTGTTACAATAAAGTCAGGCATCACTTCATGTTTCACATCACCAACGGCTGAGAAGACGATGTCCTCAAGCTTGATACTGGGATTAGTCACGGCCGAGTCCTGTAACAAACAAAAATGATGCGGATGTTCAAGTTAAAAAATTGCAGATCCAGATCTTCATTCCAGATCCACTTAGAAACCAGAACCTCCATGGCTTACAACATGCTTGCTAAGAAACGTACCGCATCGTTCCAAAACACCCAGTCGTACTTCGTGAGGTGCTCCTTGACAGCCAAAATCTTGCTCCAGCTGGGAGGTCGAGAAGAATCCAACAAGCTACTGGCGTCAATGAACTCGTAACCATGCCTTTCCACATACGCCTTTTTATTTGGCGCAACTATTTCCATCACACCCTCAAAAGATCTTCCAGGAATAGTTGAAGCACCGTCGGAGCATGTAACCATAGCGAACTTGAGTTGGTGAAAGTGTGGTGGCACACTTCCCCTCTTCGGTGAGCACTGTCGTCCGAAATCGTTTGCTTTTCGAAGAATAGCTGATGATCCGGAGAAGCCCAAAGTAAATACAACCAAAGTCGCAAAAAGTAAAATCAAGAAGGCTCGAGAAATAGTGACTAGGATGGGGAAGTAGTGCCGAAGAGCAACGTCTTTCTTGAACGATTCTCGGGAGCCTAGGCGTGCGGCGTAATCCGAATAGATGCCTTTAAATCTCCTTTGAGGAGGTGCACCAGATAGTTCAGCCATTGTGTAGTACTTTGCCCCGACACAGGCGTAAAAGTGCGTAACTCAGGCAAAACCGAATGTCCTAGCAAACCCTTCTCGCATCTAAGCTCTACCGTTTAGGATTTGTTGATATGCACAACGATGAGACCTGAAGGAAGATCGAAAACAGGGCGATAAGAGCTACGGCAGAGAAATATTTTAAGATTCTAGGCTTTTGAGAAGTAGCAGCCTCCAACGCTTTCACTAAGAGATCCGATATCCCTGCTTCCAGAATGAGCCAAATTGATTCACTTGACGCTGTCCTGCGTTGTCTTCTACTCTCAGCTACACGACCACCACATTGCCTGCACTGGAGGTGCACAGCTCCTTATAGTCAATACCTATCCAAGACAGCCACGGATAACAGGCCACCACCAAACCAAACACCTGCTTCCTCATACGCCGGTAATGCCCGATCACTCACTGTTATACATATCAAAATCTCTCGAGGGGATAATCCTTCAGGAAGATAGAGCCACACCCTAGGTGAAAAACGTGCTGAACAGACGCGGCAACAGAGACGTCGCACAGATGGTAGTCGAAACAGCGCCACGTTTAGGGATACAAACAAGACGTCAATAGAAGCTGTGCCGATACGATGGATACAATATTATCGGCCAAAGATCTCTCTCCCTCCCTCCCTGTCCTTACAGCCGACACCGAACGGATCACCGACTAAGCAGAATACTGAAGTGGAAAAATAAATAAATAAACTATTACAGTGAGCAAATTTTGCTGAGCACAGAAGCGGTTCGGAAAAGGGCAGCCCAGACTACGACGTAAACAATGAGCCGATCAACGTATTGGCCTGCTGCAAGTAGTCCGAGAGCAGAGAGCAATGCCGCTCTGCGCAGAAATGAAAAAACGTAAAGACAGGGGAGGTGGAGAGCTCAATGGAAGTAATAAAGATGGAAGACGCGTTCGGTGATGGAACTGGCGTATAAACAGAGCAGAGCAGGGCTGTGGGGAGATGCCGAGCTATCCGCCTGTTCCAACGACTCGCCCCTGCTGCCGCGTCCAACGCCAGCCGCAGACGCCAGCCGCAGACTCGTGCCCCTGCATCGGTCTCATTCCACTCCGCGTCCTGCCGCGTCCTGTCGCTCCCCCACGCAAACCCCCCTCGCGTCTCGTTTCCATTCCCCGTCACCCCCAAAATCTCCCCCGGTCTTAGGTCCGCGCAGGTCTCCCGCGAACTGCCTGTGGATAATATTAGAAAACACGGTGGTTGCAGACATTCATGTGCCCGGGAAACTTTCCGTCGAGGACTGACCGTATATTTCGGACCGTCTGCAAATACTATTCGAGGGTTACCTCGTGAATTCGTTTGATTTTCGTTCCTGGTGTGCTTTTTAACTAAATTTGTAAATTCGAATTTCCTCATTGTACTGCTATGATACGGTGCACAGTTCACTTCCAACTTGAATTCGTTGCTTTTAACTGATAGATTCGGTTTTTGTAACACGAGTGGATAAATTTAATTATATATAAATAAATAACTCATATGTAGTCATAAAGGAAAATAGGTGGTTATATGATGGTTATTCGTGGAGGGAACCGCCAGATAGACCCCCCTCCATTCTTTTACTTCGTGGACATTTCCCATGCACCCTCACGTACAATTTAGTAAAAAACTAATTTATACTAAAAAGTTATAGGATAAATTTATGATGAAAGAGTCCCCAAATAAAACCAAACAAAATATTTAATTGAACAAAAGAATTGTATGAAATGTATTATGAACTTTTGTTTAATTTAAGAAAAAAGAAAAAGACAACAAGTGCCATAAGCCATTGTACACAAATTTTTGACTGTAAATTTATTTTAAACCTTTTTATTGTTAACAAGAGTTTTATTGTGTATGTAGGGGTGCATAACATAAGGATGTCTACCAAATGGTTCCTTTTGTAAATCGTAATCCATATTAGAGCTTGTTCATTTTTAATGATTGATATTACATTATCTGTTTGAAATAAAAACAACAATTATTTATCATTTAAAATAAATTGCTTGTTTTCAATCATGCAATTCATAATCCAAAAATCTTAAGCTTAAATTTTGATATATATATATATATATATATATATATATAAAATAAGCATGTCCATGGAACCAAATGAATCATTCATGGCCTAAATTCCAACTACTAAAAAAGAAGCCGAATTTACATCTGCAAAGCTAATTAAATGCAAAATATCAAGGACAGACCATTTGAGTGACAAACCATTTACATGAAATAAGTTACCACCAAACAATATATACACATATATATATTACGAGTCTATGAAAATGTCATACTTTGTTATTCATATGTCTCATTTCATACGAAAGTACATTTATATCAAATTAAAGAGTAATTAACAAAAAAAAAAAAAAAAAAAAAAAAAAACCGTCATTAGTGTGTTGGAGGTATGCAATTTGAAAGTAGAGCATCTTTGAAAAATATGAGTTGAAAAACTTGTAGTGAGATGAAAAAGCTAGTTTTCTCCGACAGTGGAACAATTGCAAGGTTATCGCGGATGAATAAAACCCAACATCTTCATTCAGCCAATCGACGTATAAAAGACTTCATGGATGAAGTGGAAGGGAGATCTCTGAGCCAATCATTCGGGAATTGCTTTCCAAGAACTCTATTCACACATACTCAACACTCAACCCCTACAACCCCAGTCGGTTGCCTATCACCCCAAGCGAGGCCTGTAACCGCACCCACACCTAGTTCTGCATGTCGGACATACCTATTTAACAGCAACGGCCATGTTTCACCTATAACCGCACCTACACCTAGTTCCGCGTGTCGGGCAAGCCTTATTAATTGCAACGGCCATGCTGCACCTTTAACCGCAATTTCAAAGTTTTTTTGTGGAATTTACCCATCTCTCATGACCAATACATAATGCACACTTGGAGGATTAGGTGAATGTGGCAACATGCTGCTTGATGCATTGGGATTCCATGCCGTTTTTTTGTCGAATTCTCCCTTTCATCTTTATTCAAATGCCCAATAAACACACTATTTAAAACTCATCTATCGTGTATATCTACATATAAGCACACACATATGCATGTGTGCGTTTTTGTGTGGGTGTAAAACTCAGTCCTTTTTGGTGAGACAGAGTGTGTTTTGGGTAGCCCACATTGATTTTTCTTTGACATTGCCAGGTGGACGTGAATGAAAAGTATACATTGAGTATCCCCATCTTTTGCCAGAAAAAAAGGCTCTTTTGGTGTCTTAATCTTTTTGTTGATTGTTTCTTCAAGGTGACAACTTTAATACGAGAGATTTTACTTTCGACTTTTTTAAGGGTGTTCACATGTCTACTTATATCACAGTACTATTGCAAATAATATTAAAAATCAATATGTAATTGGGTGGATTTTTCGAAGTATTTTTGTTAAAAAGTTTTGCTAAATACTTCAAAAATTAAAAAGAACTTACACATAAATTAAGAAATAGTCAAAGAAATCGTAGGTAAGATTTTGGAATTGATCTTAAAAAATAAAAGCTGTGTTACAAGGCTTCAATGTTTGTCAGACAAGTCTGTTTTATATAATGCCTTGTTTAATATTATAATTCAATACAACTATATAAATATGATATGTATATATTAAAATTCTTTATGTATCTTTAATTACACGAATATAGTACTAAAAATAATGTCATAAAAATCATAAAATTAGCATAAAGTTATAATTTCATATGCTCTGCATTATTATTATTTTGCACTAAATTACTTATTATTTATTAAATGTTTTATACACATGGATTTTTATTACTGCAAAAACAAAATTGAAAAGAATAAAATGTACCAAATTTATTTATCAATATCATGTTGCAATTTGGCTGTTAGAGAATATATAAATATATGCATATATATATATAGTGCATGTGGTTTAGATGTATCTGCATGGGTTTTTGAAATCTATTATAAGCACCAGATATATGATTCAATATATAATTTATGTATTGCATGACTGAATTGCATCTACCTAATAACCGTGCAAACAAAAACATTGTAATAAAAAATATATACTATTATATGTAGTAGGGTGTTTATTTTAATATTGATGAATAAATATCATCTTTTAGAAACAAAAATCTAATTACAATCTCTCTCTCTCTCTCTCTCTCTCTCTCTATATATATATATATATGTATATGTATATTAGTATGAAGAATATTTATAGATATAATTGATATTATTGTTTAAATTTTTAACAAAATTAAAAAATTAATTTATTGATTTTTAATATATTTTAAAATAATTCAATTGATTTATGTGTTTTATGATGTTTATATTAAAATTGATGAATATTTGTATTGATGAAAGAATACATTTAAAATATTTTTAAAATTATACTGGTCAAATTCACTCAATAAAATTTTATGAAAGTTTAATAATAATGTAATTTAATATTAATATCTTTATACACATGAGATTTTTTTATTAAATTTCAATAATATTTTGTAAAATAAATTCAAGTTTAATATAGAATTTAGTATTTTTTAATATTTTTTAATACAAAAAATCCAGCCTATAAATCAAATAAAGTTTAATCTTCATTAATAAATTAATTAATAATCTAAGACTATTTTTAGATTTTTGGATTATACAAAGTAAACTATATATATATATATATATATATATATACACACATTTAGAATAGCTATTGTGAAAGACTTATTTTTTTTTATAGAATCTTAAAATTAGACTAGAAGCATGAAAAGAATTGATAAGGTGAGGAGCTACATCAAGACATTTATAAGATCTCCAACACATGTTCAACTTATTAAACATATGTCTAACTTATGAAATATATGTCCAACTTATGAAAATACATGTCCAACTTGTAAAATACATATCCAACTTGTGAAACACATGTCCAACTTGTAGAACACATGTCTAACTTGCAAGATAAGTTTACTACATGTGTACTATATGACCAACTTGCACCATAAGTGGCCAACATGTGTAAGACATTGTTTGTTTTTTGGCTAGGTTTGAAATCTATTAATCACTTATAAATCAAATTTGCATCTTTAGAGCTTCTAGAAAGTTTTTCTTCAAGATATTATTAAATTTATTTATTTTTATTTATTTCTGTCTAATCATTTTAATTTAAATTAATACATATGTTTGTAATATTATTTCCTTTCTACAAACAAGTTCTACAAGAAGTAATAAGTATATGTTAAAGAAGTCTATTATGAGACAAATTATATTTTCCACATACTTCTATCTTTATTATTTTTTAATATTCTTGATAGGTCCTCTTAGTATCATAAATATATATAGATATTTTAGTAAATATCTGTATAATTAGATAGAAGTAGATAAAAGTAAATAAAAATAGATTAATTTTGTAATACCTTTTAGAGAAGCATCTTAGAAGCTTCATAGACGCTACTTTGACTTTACATGTATTTGTAGTTGATTGATAGGTTAGAAACTTGGTCAACAAGTTAACCACATGTTGGTAGCTTATTGAACAAAATAATTATGTAGCACATATATAGAAAACTTGTCTTCCAAGTTAAGATAGGTGTCTTGCAAAGTCAATATGTTTTGGAGGTTCTATAGGACATTGCAACGTAGCTTCTGTTAAGAATATATATGGAGGCAAGGTCAAAACCTTCTTTACTCTTATTAATACCTTTCTAATAGTTAATCTTGTTTCTAGACTTTTTAGTCTTCTTATTTTTGGCAATAGTCATTTTAATTTAGTAATATATCATTTTTGAGTAACTTTTTAGTTCTTTTAAGTATCACATGAGTGTATTGAGGATTTTTTTCTTCAAGATTCATGTCCTTGTTAATTTAACAAAAGTAGTAATTTACTATTTTTATCTTATTTTAAAAATGAGTAGATTATCCCACTTCTATTTTTATATTTTAAAGGTTGTAGACTATCTATTTT